GTAGATGTTTTCTCCTGTGAATTCCCGTCTTTCGTACTTGGCACGGATCCACTGATCCTTAAGAACGCTGAAAACAAACAAGTCCGTGAAAATGTGTAGACCTGTCACCGAGCCTTTACACTTCTCTGCTGTTCCTCTTTCTACCTGAGAAACGTGACTACTCCACTCCCATTCACTAAACAGACCGTTTGTTGTCTTTGCTTCCCACTTCCGTTGAGTTAATGAAATGAATGGGTGCCAAATGCAGTGAAAGTCACTTACACGCAATCTTTCTGCTGTGGTTGGTAGAAAAAGACCGGGACACACTTCTCAAAAATAGCTTTGGCAGCAGAATTTCCTTTCTCTTGCATGAACTGAAACCGCATAATGTGAGAGTTAAAAATAAAGGTTAGAGCAAGATAATATTGTTTGCATGATGAACAGACTCAAATTAGAAGGATTTATTTTAAAGTGAAGAACGAAATGAAAATCTGGAGGTAACGGTGTAATAACAGAGGGAACTGGGGGGAGTGAAAAATCAAAGAAATCTAAAGGTATCCAATACCCTTTATATAATAAAAGGAAAATGTCTAAATTTAAGAGAACATGAATAAATAATTCATCATATGAATTCATGCTAATAATCAATACCTCTACAAGTGAATCTTCCCAATGATCCAGCCGTATGGATTTCACTTTGCTGACTGCAGGCAGATTACGATGCATCCCCGAGCAGTTCAGGCACACAAAGACGCCGAGAGTGTAAGAAGCCCAGTCAGGGTCTGCGAGCAAAAAGTGATCACAGTGTTTATTTTATAAGAAGGAACTAAGTACAGTGCAAAAAAAAAGTAGTTCTATGAACTGCCTAATGACCATAATGTACAAAGATTATAAAGCGAAAATCAGTGTTTCTTTTCTGCACAATTATAAAGTCGCTAAACAGGCGAAAGAATAAGCATATAAAGCACTGTTTGCACTACCTCTGTCTTCATTTCAAATAGGTACACACTGTATTAACTGTCCTCATACAGTGACGGTGAAAAGTGGTGGAAGAAAGGAGGAACAATAAGGTCATACCACCCTATACAGCAGTTTTCTCTTCCCCTTCTGAGAGCTTATTACAGTTTTACTTGGTTATAAAATAATATTTTGGACACAATATTGTTAACTAAATAAAGCACGTGACTCAGTCAGATGGGCTGTCTATTACCACTTGTGACGTAGTGAAATAAGGTAAATAAAATGTTCTCTGGAGAGAAAGTTAAAAAAGTATAAATAAATAAAAATCTATCAGTGCCAATCTATAAATTAAACCTGAGTCTGTTGAGGTGTACTCACCAGGAGCTCCACAGTCAGCACACAAGTTGTTACCCGGCTGTTGCACCAAATCAAGGAGAATTTTGTTATTTCTTTCAGAAGTGGCCATCGATGAAGGATGTCTGCTTCTCTTGGGCTGACAGTCAAATCCCAACAAAACATCTACTAGGTAGTAACTCCATATTGACTCTACACACTTCACAGTACAGAGCTATTCTGCCCTGTAGCAGGTACAAACATCTCCGTGGCCAGTGGGCCAGTATTTCCTCTTAACAATGCAGCATCATGAAGTTTATTGTTCTGCACACAAACACATATATCCAGAAATAACAGAGAAAGGAAGTGAAACATACGTCACTCAGTTACTGGGTGATTGACTTAGTATTAGGCTGCTGGGCTTGTCGCTGTT